ATTAATCTTGATTTCTTTAAAGATAGCTCTGGGATGAATATACCAGAGATAACGTTGATTGGTATATTGTGCCATACTGATTTTGCCCATTCCTGCTATATGCCTGATGCTTTGATATGAAAAATGGAATTGGATTACCTTATGCTGCCAAACAGCATTTTAAAAAGAATAGTGTAAGGAAAAAGAATTCCTTCCCACAAACAAAGCCAGCAAGTCCTTGCCAAAATCAGCAATGCAATATCTCTCTGCACCTTTTGACCCCCTAGGATCATTTCTAGAAGGACCCCTATTTACATTGTCCTATAAAGCCATATATAAAGCTATAGGGACACAGTGGCTCAGTGGCTAAGACGCTGAGCTTGTCTATCAGAAAGGTCAGCAATTCGGCGGTTCGAATCCCTACTGCCACGTAATGGAATGAGCTCCCCTGACTTGTCCCAGCTTCTGCCAACCTAGCAGTTCGAAAGCACGTAAAAAATGCAAGTAGAAAAATAAGAACCACATCTGGTGGGAAGGTAACAGTGTTCTGTGCATCTTCGGTGTTTAGTCATGTCGGCCACATGACCACAGAGACGTCTTTGGACAGCGCTGGCTCTTTGGCTTTGAAACGGAGATGAGCACCTCCCCCTAGAGTCAGGAACGACTAGTACATACATGCGAGGGGAACCTTTAACTTTACCTTTACAATGTTGGAAACGCAATCAGATACCAGGTTCGTACTATCATATGTGGTGGTCATGTCCAAAGGCAAAAATACATACATGGTTAGAGAAAATGATAAAGCAACACATAGATTTAAATCCAGAAATATTTTTGTTAGGTATATTGCCAGAAAATTATGACTAAGGGAATGTGTATTTAATATTGCATGTTTTGAGAGCAGTGAGAATTGTATTTGCACAACACTGGAAAAACGAGGGAAACTGCTACAGATGAAAATATAATAAAAAAAATACTAGATTGTGTAGAAATGAATAGGTTAACCTTAAAGATAAAGGACAAAGAAGATACAAAATACTTTTTAACTTGGGATTTGTTTTATCAACGGTTATATAATAAAGGTGGATATTAGAAACTGGAAGAACACTATTACATATAAGTAAAGAATATTATTGTTACTAGAATTAGAATAGAATTCACATGGGACCTATTTCTCTTGGGAATTATATATAATAAATATAACAAAGGGGTAATTTACTTAACAATACATATTATTACAGCAGCAAGAATGGTTTTTGCCCAAAATTGGAAAAACAGGAAACTCCATAAGAAGGGGAAATAATTAGGAAAATTCTGACCTATGCTGAAATGGATAAATTGACATGGGAATTGAAGAATAAAGACGAATCAGAATATTATAAAATCTGGGATAAATTTTATTGAGGGTTGGAACCATAAAGGAAAGACCCAAAATAGGCAATGGCTAAGATTCATAGAATGGAGACTAAAATTATGTATGAAACTATAACATTGAAAATGTATAAGATAAACACAAAGCAACATGGTTGGAATACAATATTTCTATATTTGTAAAAATGGAATAGATCAAATGTTAAAAAGCAGGGTGATTACAATATGCGATTTTATATCTTAGCATGTACGGCATAGATTTCGCCAGGACAATTACACTGTGTCCAATGTTTTAATTTATGTTGAATAAAAATGTTTTTATAAAAAAAATGCTAGATTGTGTAGAAATGGATAGGTTAACCTTAAAAATAAAGGACAAAGAAGATACAAAATCCTTTTTAACTTGAGATTTGTTTGATCAATGGTTAGATAATAAAGGTCAAAATTAGAAACTGGAAGGACACTATTATATATAAGTAAAGAATATTATTGTTACTAGAATTATGTAAATGTAGAATCACCCAGACAATGCACTGTTTACTAAATACTTATATAGGTATGTTAAAGAAAAATGTATATACATACATACATACATACATACATACATACATACATACATACATACATACATACCAGAGGTGGGTTCCTACAGGTTCGCACCTGTTTGGTAGAACCGGTTCATCAAATCTACTGAACTGGTTAGAAGAGGTTCCACCAGTGGACCTGGAAAGCAGGCCGCACCTACAGAAGAGGTTCCAAAATTTTTTGAAACCCACCACTGATACATACATACATACATGAAAGATCGTAAATCAAGGCCTATCTCTATGTTGGTTATGGACCCCATTGCTGTTTAGTGACTCTTCGTTCATTTCCCCCCTTTCAAAGATGCAGGGACTTGCCGTCCGTGTAACAACACCGAAATCCTGATGGCTGTTTGCACAAGTGATTTTGGTGAGTAGATTTTCTCCAGCATTAATTTACTGCTCTCTTCACCATCTGTGGAGATTCTTCGTCATCCAGGCCATGGTTGTCCCAAACCATGGTGTTATTTTTCAAGAGGCCTCACTTCATTTCCCCCGGTTTATAATAGTGAAGAAACCCCAAAGATGTTTTATTCAAGAGCCAACTGGACTTTGTTTTTCTTTGAAGAGGTTTCCCTTCTCATCCGAGAAGCTTCCTTCAGTTCTGAATGAATGGTGGAGGATGGAAGGATGTATATTCCTTGCAGTCATCTGGTTGTTAGTTCTCTCTCTCTCTCTCTCTCTCTCTCTCTCTCTCTCTCTCTCTCTCTCTCTCTCTCTCTC